CGGTGTGGGCGCCTTTTATAATCTGAGTGGTTCAGTGCTGTGTGTCTGTGTACTAGCGGTTGCGCATCCGCCAGACTAGGTAACAATTCACTTTGTCCAAGTGCATCATGAACGATTTTGCAGCGAATTTTTCGATTAGTTAATGTAAACAAAAGGCTAGTTGTATCACGTAGAAGTTGTTTGTCCCGTCATCATAATTTTATCATTTGCTGTTTTTCGAAATATTGGGAATAGCCAGTCTTGAATAAAATTGATTTCTTTTGCGATATTTTAATACCTACTATAGCAAATTAGACACCTAAAAATCGCTATATATGAGAAGTAGTAAAATTGGATTTTTAAGGATCGACAGCCTTAAAATGAAATGACAAATCTAAATTTTTGAGAACCAATTAAACTAGTGCAAAAATTAATAAATTTGACAAAGAGGTTATGATAATAATTTGTAACCTAGTTTCCTTAGATTGTACGAATATAATTTTTTCACCAAATCCGAATGACCATATCATAAACTGTGTTACGAGTTTTAAAAACTTTACCAAAGGAATCAACATCAATAAAGCTTTTTTATTGCGCATGAAGTTTTCTTTGGTGTGCAAACTTCCTAACCATGCATTTGTGGCAAGATCAAATGTGATCACATGTGTCACGTGAATACGGTTGGCATTGCAGTCCCAATTGTCAAATCCACCTCAGCTTCGACATTGACGGCATCGATCCCAAGTACGCTCCCAGCACAGGCACCCCAGTGCCCGGTGGTCTGTCTCTGGAGGAGGCCAAGTACATTTGCAAGACTCTTGGCCAAACAGGTAGGCTCACATCTGATGCACTTTGCTCGTGTTTGGACCGTGTCGGCAGTAATGGCCTCGAACTGGCTTAGTTAAAGTTTAACATGAGCATTGCTATCCGTTTTATTCGTACCCCAATTGCTCACATAGTTGAGGTTGCAGAGGCCCCAATTTTCTCGCATGACTTTTCTGCTTGATGTGTACAACGATTCGATTTTGCTTTGTTATTTAGGCCGGCTAAAATCTATGGCGATCACAGAAGTCAACGCATCACTCGGCTCGCCTGAAGATGCAACCACCACATTGCATGCTACTCTTGAGATCATCAGAAGTGCTCTGCTTCTGGACTAAAGGAGCGCACTTATTCGATTACTTTGTGTGCCGTACTTAAAAAAGCAAACAATTTAACGCATTTATTCTTTTTGTAGAGTAAAACCTTGTGGTCTAATTTAGTTTTTTCGACCCGACTGGACGATGTGCACCATATTCTTTAGAGTTGAGTCAAATAGCAATTTGGCAAGGTCTGATTCTTATGAGTTTTATCTCTTCTAGAACTGGAGTCAATGTTCTTCCAAGGTGTAACTTCAATTCATTAAGCAGAGTTGGTTTTCGTGTCATGAAGGATCCTGTTTTACATTTCCACTGAACACGGTTGGAGGTCATGTTTACTTACTTAATGAAAGCTGGATGGCAAGTGCTTACAAACTCATAGTGGCATGACGATTATTTAAAAAAAGGTGCCATAGGTTTCGTGTTCTGGCTTCTGCCTACTCCACCGATCGCGGACGTCCATCTTCCTGAGTTCCTACATGGAACGTTATATTTCGAAAAGCAATATTGTCACAAATTCCACTAATGTAGCACAGTCCTAAATCCTTAGCATTGTGTGTTTTTCACCTAAATGCTCGCAGTTAAAAAGTCTTCTTTCAGGAGCTCTGAAGAAAATGACCGCGAAAACATGCACGAAGTCTCCATTAAGTTGCAAGTGTGGGAATTTTCCATCGTAAGCTGCGGTGCAGCCCAGATCTCATCCATTGAATTCTCGTTGGGGCCAAGATGTGGCATTTGTAAAGAAAAACACCTCCTTTCCAAGACGATGAGGAGCATGATTGGG